TGAATCTATTTTTTAAAAAATACCCTACGGGGCGGGCGGGGCAGAATCTCTTTCGTCCACCTTTCCCGCTCTCCCCTCGCCAGCAGCTAATTTTTCTCAGAGTACCGCCGGACCCAGCATTCGTAGAATGTTTTCAAGGAAACACGCTCTGGCGGGGAGGGAGGGGGTGGGTTACATCGGTGTCCACGTCCACCCCCGAGCCCTAGCAGGCTGCCTCGCCAGTCGCCCTTCAAGCCCGTAGGAGCAAGCAGCAGCCAGCCAGTGTGCGGTGTGTCGTGTCGGCCCCAACCGTTGACAAAAATGACGCGAATAATTATTCCACTTCAAATTCCAATTCCACTAAAATGTGGACGTAAAATGAATGTGGCAATATCGGTTGAACTTTTAATTGAAGGACCTGCTAAAAATCTGAAAAATGTGGACATTAGTGTTGAACTTGAAGCCCAAGTCACAGGAGCCCAGATCGAGTCTGTTGATTTAAAGGTGAAGTATGTCAGAATATTTCTTACTAGTTTCACACTGATAAACTAAGTGTTCAACACTTGTAAATGTGCAACTGCAGGTTGAATACTTGCAAGTGTGCAACTCCGTCGTCGTACGCTTGTAAGTGTTCAACTCGGTACGTGTGCACTTGCAAGCAACTGCTAGGTTGAACACTTCCTTAGATTGGAACGCTCACTGTGTAGGAAGCAGAGGTGTGCACGCGAGGCAGAATTCTGCCTCGCGTGAAGTTGAAGTTGAAGCTGCCTCGCAGCCGATTCTCCATTGCCTCGCGCCTGCCTCCCCTCGCGCTCGCGCTCGCCAGCCGAAGTTCTGCGAGCCTCGCAATGTGCGAGGCAGGCGGCGCCTCGCAGAGCGGAGCTGGAGATGACCAGTGACCACCTACACCTTTCCCGCCAAGCTATCGGCGCTCATTGGCTGGCCACGCTAAAACGAGGGTGGCAGCGGGACATAATTGATTTACCTATTTCAGGTGAATGTAACACTATATGTTGCTCGGCCGGACGGCATCCCCGCAGAAAATCTAGGACATCGCAATCGCAGCCGCGACTCTCAGCCGCGCCGCGCCCAGGACCGACCTTTGACTGCTGCGTGACCCTAGTCATAGGTGGCCCCTGTCCCCGACTTTGGGTGAACGCAGAGTGGCGCTGTTCGAAGGGCGGCGGGGAATGCCAAGGCGTGATCGAGGGCGTTCGCCTAGCAGAGCCGGGCCAGAGATCGTCCCGGCCCGGCCCGGCCCGGCGGGCGTGGTGGGGGTGGCGGCCCGCCCGCGCCCCGCGCTGCGCTGCGCTCGCTCACCACTTGCAACTCGCAACTCGCCCCTTGCACGTCGCAGTCCTCCTCCTGGCCGCCCGCCGCCCCGCAAGCAGAGTGCGTGCTCTCCAATCTCCAATGTCTCCACGGCATCGAAGGCAGAAGAATTCGGCTTCTCGCGGTCTTTCAAACTGTGATGAAGATGAGCGTCCATTTACGTTTACACCTGCTGGGACGCAAATCTTCGATGAAGAATACATCGCGGTGTTAAACTCGAAATGTAAGTCTGGTTCAGCAGCCGATGATAGTTTATTGTTATGTCTAATCCGAGGGGCCCAAACTTCCTCAGATCTTGTACACTTGATTTCAGTTTCTAACGACTTAAACTCATGATAATTTTATCGATT